TATATGCAAGTGTGTTATTAAACTTTGGATCCAATAATTAATAAAGTGACCACTGCACAGTGTAGGCGTTTCTACTTCGCAAACAGACGCAAACACTTTTACAGTACACTTACGTACCCGCCCCATCGAAGCAGACAAGGAGCAGCAGAATGCCTTGAGAGTAACAATTTCACAGCCTGGCGCCGACCTGACCAGTCATAAGTTTGCGTGTGTGAGTGCGTATGTGCTTGTGAGTATGTGTAATTGACATATCTGACCGCCTTTCCCTTCTGCTCCCCAATGGTGCACACCCCCCCTCGCTGATGTAACGATTCTACACCAGCCTACTCCAGGCCACCACACCCCATGACGGTAACTCGAAGACTCTGGGTATTTATTCCACTACTGCCATCACCACCAACCCCACGTTGATATGCTCCGTTAAATTTATTAAGAGAGGCGCGGGTATTGTTAGCAGGCAGTCTAGCGAAACAATGTCGGGTGGAATGGTGGTAGTGCAGGTGGTGGAGCGAGGTACTAAGAGCCGGATAGTTGGAGGATAATGATTTTTGGCTTTGCTAATCACGATGATACATTTGGAAGTGATGGGAAGCTTACATTTTAATTGTAGCTTTGTTTATTTAAAGTACCATAGGGGGAGAATGAAGCACGATGAAAATAGAAGTGTAGGGAAGTCTGGCTACAGGTCACTACTACCAATGTGCACTTCACTGTTTCATGAGTGATGCAGAATTAACCAATTTTTAGCATGATAGTCGGTTGGTTTGTTGATGTGAAGAAAGCTTACCTGAGGAAAGGCAGATTCCGTCAGTTCAGATGAGATCTCGGTGTGCAGTTTTTAAGTATCAATGTTATAGGTGTAGTAGATTCAAAACTAGTGAAGAGGCGATTAAAGCTCAGTGAGGCGAAACTCGCCGCGTCTGTACGCATTTAAAGCATGACCATGCCCGGGTGGATTCTTCGTTCTGCAATATAGCTACTGCCTGCATTTGATGCGCCACCTCAGAGCAGCTTGGTCTGACCTGGTCTTGAGACTGCCTATCATCGCTAGCTCCACATCGGCACTGACGTCGCCCCCTGCCTCTGCTTCAACGTTCAACATTTCTTGGGATCGAAACTGGGGCTACTACAACTGGTGCTGCACCAGCAGCAAGAGCTCAATGTAACCATTATTCGACAAATGTGTGCCCATTAATCTCTACATTCGTGGGTACTTGCACCTCCAAAACACCTCGCAGATTTTGTTTCCCAGAGGAATATCTCCATCAGAGACAGCGCCTTAGATGTGATTTGTATAACTCATCGTGTTTAACCCTCCTTTAAGGAAAGCGACGCATCGTAGAATACTG